AGCAACTTTTTGTCATCTCTCTTCAAATGTCTTGTAGCTAGCAGTTCACATTTTTCAAAAGGAAAGAAAAAGTGCACAATTTCATTGATTAAGTTCAAAGGCAGAGCTGTTGTTTATTTATAGCCTTAGGTGAGTGCATTAAAGTGAATATTTATTGCAAGTATTATCTGAGATTCAGGAGCTGAAACACCACATAATAGACCACTATTTCCTTYTTTTTTCAAAAGTATTTACATCTAAACAACATGTGAACAAACAGCAGCAGGATGTTAAAGGTTTGCACTTACTTTTAAAGAACATGTCGTTCTTTCTGACCCAAACCATGACCCAAAGCTCCACAGATATCTCATGTCACCTTTTTTAGACATTTCCTCGTCAGAAAAATCACTCAGTTCTCCTGAACCATCCGACCACCTCACAGCTTTTTAATCTTAACACCGTGTTTCACCTGATTTTAGGTGAAGAAGAAAAAAACTTTGGTTCTGGAAAGAGCATAGATCACCCCAGTTGGTGTCAATCAAAAGAGGGGGGCCTACAACCATTTTGACGCGTGGTTTTACAGACCTCATTACAAACCTTACTTAGAATGTAGGACAGGGTGTTGTTCAACTGCTGGCTGGCGGACCACATTTGTCTCGTGGGTGACTTCCACAGCCAGGTTCACACACACAGACACACACAGACACACACACTGAAGCTATGTTTACATGGAAACACGTAATGAGAATAAACAGCCAATGGGAATAAAAAAATGCATCATGTAAACACCAAACTCAGAATATTCTGACCTGAATCAGCTCGATCAGAATGATTCTGTAATCTGAATGAGACGGTGGTTTATGCTGATTGATAATCTGCCTGTAAACACTTAATCTGATCATCTTATTCTGGCTGTGACAAATTAACCTGGCTGAACATGAGCTCCTTGGTCAACCACGTACTTCCACCTGGCTAGATGCTAATGTGTCAGGGAAGATAAACTGGTGAGTCAGCGATAAAAAAAACATTTTATTAGAAACTTTGAAACAGCTCAGAATTATTGAACGTCTTCAGGAAGTGTAGGAACATGGAGTGTGGTGATGTCTGCAAGTGCAGGTCCATCCAGGGTTCTCAAAACACCTGTTTATGTTCATCACAGAACTTCTGTGTTTTAAGGAGAGTTTACAGCTCTGCACATCTACAGTTTAACTTTATTCAAGCCATTTTTAAAAGAATAAAAAAGAAAATTTATACACGTAAATGTTATATATACAGTATATATA